CTCCATGACAGCAACAGTGTGCAAATGGGGTCCTGCTGGCTTCATACTCCTCTGCTGAAGACCATGAATATCATTGAAGCTTCAGGCCAAAACTGATCTGCCAGGCTTAGCAGAGAGTGGGAGGAAGTGCAAAGGCCAGAAGGCTTACACTGTCCATGCAGCTGAATCTCAGTGTATTCTTACTTCAAGCAACTCTCTTGTTTCTTTCTTTTTTTTTTTTTTTTGGCCAAATTTATACTGAGTAGTTATACCTTGCTAGAAAAATTTCTCATTTAGGAATTCTTCTTTTGTTAGAAAAACACTTCTTAAAATGCATTTTTGCCACCTCCTGTATTAAGGAAAGATTCTTAAACACCTTTTTTTTTCTTTTTTCCCCAGTTCTTCTGTAGATTTCATGAGAAAGCAGTTTCTGTGGTGTTCGCTATTCTTGCAGGTATTGTTTTGGTGGGTTAATTCTGAAATTTTCTTTTTTGGCTCTTTAATTTACACTGCAACTTTTGGTAACGACAATGAAAGAAAAGTAGTGCTAATGGGTATGTATTGCTATTTTCCCTTCATTGGGGGGAAACAAAAAAAAAGAAAGAAGAAGAAAAGACTATGGGAAATAATATATCCCTTGTGAGATAGATCAATACAGATGCAGGTTAGTTCTTACTCTATTGAAGTTATTTTCCTTCCATGGCACCATATATATTCTGCTGAAGGCTATCTATAACCATCAAGTGCATGACAGTTATTCTTACACGTTGTCTCATTTTTAAAACCATTGCCAAGATTCCTATCCTTTTCAAATGAGAATGAGGAGACAGTCTCTCTTTTATCAGGGTCAGATCAATTAAGCTTAAATAATCTTATTTTCTATAATTTTCATGTAGTTATTCAAAAGATTAGCGAGAAAATGTCACTGAACAGATACTTGTCTCCTCATTAACATTCATGTCAAAACCTTCCGGTAGGGCTGGTTTGGGCTGCTGATGGAGCAGTTCTTAAAAGAACTGGCTTATCTTGAAACAGCTGCTCAGCAATGCTACCATGCAAGAGAATTGTTGATAATAAGATGATGCTATTATAACTACATTGGGAACATAATGTATATTAAGCTGCTTTTGGGTATGCAGTGGGTGCCTAGGAATTACAGCATGATTGCTTGCCTATTTCTAGGAACAGGAAACAGCTGATCATTTCATGTCTGCTCATTTGAATTAGTCCTACTCACAGACTACAGTTAGATGAAAAATCTGCTATTACTCCTCACTTTCTGTGTATTTCCTGTTTGTGAAAGTTTGTTTATTTGTTTTCCCAGAATTTGGAAGGGTTTGTATCTCCCATTGCTGAGATAATTGATCACTTATTATTTTACAGAAATTTTTATAATTCCAAGGCTTTCTTAGGAAAAATTACCAGGAGGAGATTCCCTTGATCCTCATTCATCCAACAGTGAAATTCCAGATATTGAATGTTTGTAAATGACTATGCCATATGACAATGCACTGGTAAGTATACAGACATAGGCAATACAGATTAACCTTAGATACAGATCTGTAAACAACTGTAGATATGGCTCAGCCAAGAAAAAAGTAGCAGTGGAAATTATATTGTATAGTAATTTATATTAATTCACTTAGCATATACAAAACAAATGAGAAATACTGCTGTCAGATCTTTGTCTAATAGATATCTCAAAACCACACAAAATACTAGGAATAAAACACAGAGAAAAAAATTGGATCTGGGGGAGTAGAGCAATTGAAAGTCCCACCACAGTAACATTCCCTCAGAAGTGTTTCTTGCAAATAAGTAAGAAGTAAATAAGATCATGCAGAGCTTTAGGCTGCAAAAACTAATTCCCATCTAAAGCGAAAAGCACGTAACTGGTTCCAAAACATTTAATAGTTTCTAAAATTTTCTGTAAATAATTTCATTTTTAGCTTTTCTTGTGTACTGTTATTCCAGATGTTAGTTATTAGAGATATTTTGCAAATACCGTACTTCAGGTAAAATGAAATTAAAAAGTACCTAGAAATGACATTTAGGACCTTCTACTCTACTCAACAGTAGTAAGGTGATGCATGGAGTGCAGGGCACAGTTCCCAGTACAAGAGGGATGTGGATATCTAGGTGCAAGTCCAGCAGACGTCCAGTAAGGTTATTACAGACTGGACTATCTCACATAAGAGGAAAGGCTGAAAACTGGACTGTGTAGTCTACAGAAAGGAAGATTTTATTAATGTGTGTAAATTGCTTGTAAAGGAGTAGAGAGAGATCAGAAGAGCCCAGCGACAGGACAAGAAAGAATGCACATGTAGTTAAAAACAGAATTAAAATATCAACTTAATTAAAAAAAATAAATTCACCTGGACACATATTTTCATTGTGAGGGTGACTAAACACTGGCACAGGTTGCCAGAGAGTTTGTGGAATCTATTCTTGGAGATATTCAAAATCCATGTGGGCATGTGGACATGGTTCTGGGCAATCTGCAGTGGCTGACCCTGAGGCACACTGATTAGACCACCACCAGAGATGGCTTCACATCTCAGCCGTACTGTGATTTTGTGTAAGATTATGTGACTGACCTGAGGCTAAAGAGACAATCTTTATACTACAGTAGAACGAATTTCATTGATGAAAATTAGAACATGAATAGTAATCAGGGGCAAAACCCTGAAAGAGAAAACAGACCTTATATAAGCTCTCACAAAGGAAATCAGAAAATCATCTAACCTGTACTTAAGTGTATGAATGAGAGACAGAAAATAAATGATAGAGGATCCAAACTACTGCAAGATAAGCAAGACACACAGTGATCAGATCATAATTCAGCAAAGAGTTCATACACTGTTAGAAAGTTTTATGTTGTGAAAATTAGTATTATCATAAGACCTGCCTAGTACACTAGAATATCAAAAATCAACAAGAACTTCCACATCACTTTTAAGAGTTTACAAACCGGCATAAACGTCTGCACAACACTTGTTCAGAATAACTCCACCAGGGAATAATCACAATACGCTCCCTATCTCAGCATTTCTTATATGCTCATATATTCTGGTATTGCTTAAATTTGGTACTGTATTTGTTCTATTATTTGCGGTATACTAGCATCAAAAAGCAGATTCATGCATCAAAACTTCCTTGTGCAATTGAACTACCGAATTAAAATCAAACAAAACAAAAAGAGATGATCTTGAAGAACTAAAATACAAAAGTTATCTTGCAATCTAATATTTGCTTTACAGGAAAAAGTGTTATACTGTATTAAACTGAGAAATGTATAAGTGTTTTTTATACTGAAAGACAACCTATTAGATAATGCATTTTTCCACGAATGTGTTTGCCCCTTGAATGATTAAATAGTTTTTCCATATAAGAGAACAACTTTTAAATAGTTTTATAACATCATTAAAATATATATATAAAAAAAAAAACTATAGAGAAAATTCAATTGCTCTTTGATAATATTGAGACTGAATATTGCAAATTACCTTTAAAAATGTACAATAAGCCACAGTTTTTTAATCCAATTAATATAGAGCAGATCAATAAAAACCTCCCAAATACAACATTTTTAACAGGTCAACAGCTTTGATCTATGTACCCTACCATCAATAAAGACAACGGTTTCACAGTATTTCAAGTTACTGAAAAAGCTGTCATGTGTTTAAGTTCATTGCAAATCCAAAATGCCACATGTTGCCTAAAAATAAATAATATAATACTTAAACTCTACCATAAACAAGCCCAGCATTTTCATTAGACTGCACTGTTCACCAAACGCCAGTGATCTTCTTGCTTTCCTTCTAGAAAACAAGGAAAGCTCTGCAAATGTTGCTGATATTTTCAAACATTCATTTTGTTTGCAGACTTCCTGATATAGTGCTCACAACCACTAGATTTTTTTGTGAAGTTCTTCAAGGACAACTACAGTTTTGAAAATTTAGGGCACAAAAGTTCAAGATTAACATTAAAAAATAGAAGGTATCACAATGCAGGACACTGCACAGACATCCACATCCACACCAAGTCCGAAGTCCAAAGACTGGGGACATATTCTGAATTATATTAGCATTTGCTCTGGTGCGCTAGAACTTCCTCATGTTATATATTTCCCATTCCTTCCTTTTATAACTTTCTGTGTCATATTGAGGTAATCAGTATTAGAAAAATTATTTTAAATTTTTTTAAAAATTATTCCGCTGATAAAAACATGACAATATTCTGAAGCTCTTTTGCTCTTTATTAATCTGCAGTTCATAAGAAAAGACCAATAAACTGTGACTTGCAAATATGGATACATCCACAAAAACAGCTCATTCTTTAAGACAAGTATTTAGTAAACCATGACAGACAAGAAACTCTTAAATTTAAAGAATCTTAAAAAGGCTGACAAAACTGATTAAAAATAAAGAAAGCCTGGAAACTCTCTGTATCAATTCCTTCCAGGTAAAAAAAAAAAAATATGTTTAATGCATCTGTAGTGGCTTGCATGAAAGTACCTCTCAAATGCAATTGAGGCATGACTGTTTAAAAGCCCCAGAAGTACTCTACAAGGCTATACATATCAAAAGAAAGCCATGTAGGAAAACGCTGCAGCCATAAACCTACAAAAAGTCAGAGTACTAAAAAACTGCTTTCCAATAAAAAAAAATAATGGGAGATCCACAGTTCATCTTGCAACAGTGAACATAACTGCATCCCTAAATTTTGCATTTGAAATCAGGAGACAAAATTATAAACCTCCCTATGCATATCTAATCTTTTTTTCAACATTAGCCAAGCCTGCAGGCACTTTACAGTCTGATCCTTGATGTTATTGTAATTAAAGGAAATACTCATAAGGCTGATAAGCATGCCAGCTGTAACTTAACCCTTATCTTAGCCAAACTGACAACTGCAAATGTGATACATAATTGTAAAGAAAAGAACATTGGAATTCATTCTGGATCACCAACATTTAAAACCCCATAACCTTGAAAATAAGTAAATTACATCCAGCCTACCATCAAACTTCTTGTGCCGGGAGACAAAAGTGGTGCGTACAAAGTGACTTGTCTCCTCCACCAAGTTTTCAAACTCCAGTTTGCTCTGCTGACTTAATTTGTCCTCCATTTCTGAGGTGCAGCATGTATATTCCTGAGGGCAGGTTCTCAAGTGTTCCCCTGGAATTGCAAGAAAAATGGCATTAGAAATATTATAACACAGATCGAAATATATCAGAACCCAACATACATATCCCTTCACTTCAGGAATGTCAGCTACGTAAAGATATCTTTAAGGTTTGATCACTTCTTTGGGATCAATTTGTTCGTAATAAACAATTTTGCCATGTCTGGGCTCTTGCCACAGAAGTGGAGAGACACACTTTGCAGAGCTGTTCTGATAATTCAGAAACATCTCACAATGCAAATGATTCTTGAACTGAAGTAGCCTTCTATGTAAGCAAAAGTATACTTAAAAATCCTAAGACAATTTCTCTTTGTATTCAGAATGTCTGGAGAAATGCTTAATGAGATGACCTGTTACAAGACATCAGAGCTTTCTTTCTATCAAAACTTGAAAATCATAAATTACATATTTCTGTAGATAGGTTTTGCTTGTCCAAATGCACCAAAATATTCTCCCCCTTTCCCCTTCCTTCCCTTCTGTTTGAGTAACTGTATTTTAATTGTCTGGGTGTTTGGGTGCCACATATTTTCTTGGACAACATTTCTTGTCAAACCTAGCAAATGCTCCACTGAATGAGAGAAAGCAATGAAGAGTTTAATTAATGCTTATGTTATACAGAAATGCTGTGTAAAAGGTAATGAAAGCTTCTTATTTAATTCAGTAGATTTATCTCTTGAAGCACTGTGCCAGTTCTTCTGACAATATTGCTTTTTTCAGTACAATTTGCAAGTGGAAACCGATTCTTTAGCTCATGAAATTAAAATGGTCTGCTATTACATGAAATGTGAATTTCCAATTGACACTGTACTAGGGTGTCAGAAACATTTAGCTCAGTTTGTGTGAAGGTAAGAAATTCTACCATTCCCTCTTGAGAAATAAAAAGAATGATCTGCCTGTATGATTAAAGCTACTTGTAAAGCAATGAAAACATTTAGCTTTCTGTACACTGAATCCTGATTAAAAATCCCTCTGCAAATCTCATAGAGGTGCAAACAAAATGATATACAAAGCCCAGGGGTTAAATAAATATGGGGGACTTGATTCTCATTTATATCAAGCCTCCTTTGTATCACTGCTGAGCCATAAAGAAGATTTAAATGCAATTTATATCTACTTTAAGGCTACTGTTCACCATTGTTATTATGTAGCAAGGAGAATCAGGCCCTGAGGTTTATACTTCCCTGGGGTGCAATACATTTAGCTGCTGCGTCATTTTGAAAACAGCATCAAAAAGGGTTTGTACATGCTTAGAATAAACATTGTCTTGAGTTTGCTGTCATTTTATTTCAATCTTTAGTTTAGTTTCCAAATTACGTCTTTTGATTTGAAGCTCAGTCATTCCTGAACCCTGGCCCATTTAACCTGACTTAATTTTGTTTTTCTGCAATAGTTTGTAAGATATGAACTATAATGCTAAGAGACTTCTAGCAGTCTTGAGACTTTAAAAAAATCTCACAGCTATACATCTTTGGGAAATATAATTTCATTAACAGTTACTGGTCTGCAGTACTACTATAGGTCCCAGTCATGTACAAAAGAACCATTCTATAAGAAAGATTCTCTGTGTCCATCAAAATAATGTAAAAATTATTTCCTGCAATGCTCTCCCAATGCAATAACATAATTCCTCTCCATTCTCTAGATCATGCATCTAAGCCAGAAAAAATACATGAGCCAACTGCTGTCAAACATAAAAGATAGTGGCAAAAAAATGCTTGGTTTAGACTCTGTGCCACTATCACATTAAACAGAAATTATTCAACAGATAAAAAACAACTGAGGAGACAGCATATGAAGACACAGTAAGTTTTTTTATGTTTCCTAACAACAGAGTTCTGAGTTTTTGTTAGACATCAGAAGCACAAGGAAAGCTGAAATGTGGTATCTTTGGAAGCAGTGTTGTATGCTTGATTAAATAAAATGAACATACCCTTGCCTATACAACTGACTCTCCCCCTTCCTACATATACCCAGCAGCTTTTCTAGGGAAGCACTGGGAAAATGTGTTCTTCCACTTACACCCACAGTGGTAGTTCACACTTTCTGCAACGACAATGTCCTTTAGTGTTGTTGCAGTCATGAATTTTATTAAATTTCAGTTTTATTTCCTCTATTCATTTCCCATTATTTTTTTTCTCTTCCATCTGGCTTTCTGTTTTCCAGAACTGCCAAACTCCAAAGGAACTAATGTTCATTATTAATGCACTATACTTGCTGAGTAACAGCTGTAGGTCTAGGTTTTTAAGAAGTTGTTCTGATTTCATTGGTGTAGAGCTAATTTCCTTCCTAGTACCTGGTGTGGTGCTGTGTTTTGGATTTAGGATGAGAGTAATGTTGATCTCACAGCGAGGTTTAAGTTCTTGCTGAGCAGTGCTTACATACATACAGCCAAGGACGTTCCTGCTTCTCTTTGTATCCTGCCAGTGCAGTGCACAAGTAGCTGGGAGAGGAAAGTACCAGGGCAGTTGACCCAAACTGGCCAAAGGGGTATTCCATACCATTTGGCGTCATGCTGAAGAATAAAACTGGGAGAGCTGTCTAGAGGAGGGGACTGCTGCGTGAGGACCTCCTCTGCATTAGTCAGCAGGTGGTGAGCAATTGCACTGTTCACTTCTTGCTTTGTATAGTCTTTCAATCATAATAATTATTATTTTACTTTTATGCCCTATTAAGCTGTCTTTGTCACAACCCACAAGTATTACCTTTTTTCCGATTTTTCTCCTATATCATAGTAGGGCAGGGGCAAAATGGCTGTTTGGTGTTCAGCTTCCTACCGGGTTAAACTACAACAGGTGCTATGTTATGCTGAATATTATGACATACTAAAGTATATTGAATTCAGTAAAACAGTCAGTTTTGTACCACTATTAATTTCACTCTTGCTTTTTTAGTTGTGGTCTTAGTTTACTACAAAAACTACTTACCAATTTATTTTAAAATCCAACTTGCACACCATAAACTCATTCAGATTTCTACTGTACTTATATGTTCTGCCTTTGCATGAATTTTTATGATATTTCTTTGTTTTATTTCAGTGGATATACATTCATTCATGAAGCTTTTAACTGCTGACACAAAAAAAACTTCCAATTACATAAAGTGCTTGCAAATTCTACGTCAACTCATTGCTTTCCTCTCCTAACAATGTGTCATCCTGAATCATCTACATTAACTACCTGTCTTCATCATAATTCACTAATTTATAATCATCTTATTGTTTAAAACATTTCTAGTTCTTCTGACTGAATTTTCTTATAAAGAAAGAGTAACAAAAATTATTATGCCACTCTTTATATTCTGTTTCAAGATCACCTTTTTCCTCCTCCTATTTTCAGCACAAAAGTCTCAGGTTAGATTACAGATAAAGTAAACACAATTTCCTTTGCTCTGTGGCAACGGAATATATGTCCTCTGATCAGTCTGAGATGTTCAAGTGCCCTAAGCAAAGAAGTCTTCAGAATTTGAGGATCTCATTCTTGTACAGGTCATGAGTGGCTACAGGCTCCAAAGACTGACAATCTTGGGCCATTTCCTGAAAATGGTGGATGGAAACTCACTGACAAACTACCCTTTCTGTATGAGTAATCCTAATTTGCTTTTTAAAAGCAGTGATTATTATTTTGCCTTTGTTCTTACTGAACATAGTAAGTTAGCAATAGGACAAGGAGTAATGGCCTAAAACTCGGGTATTGTTTTGTGTACAAAATCATAGAATCCTCAGAGTTGGAAAGACCTCTTAAGGCCATCTAGTCCAACTCCCCTGCAATGAACAGGGACATTCACAGCTAGATCAGGTTGCCCAGAGCCTGATCAGCCTCATCTTGAAAGTCTCCAGGGATGGGATATCAACCACATCACTGGGCAACCTGTTCCAGTGCCTCACCATCCTCACTGTAATAGATTTTTTTCATTGTATCCAATCTAAATCTACCCTCTTCTAGCTTGAAACCATTTCCCCTTGTTAAATCACCACACATTCTTCTAAAGAGTCTGTCCTCTTCTTTCATGTAGCTCCATTTTAGATACTGAAAGGCCACTATGAGGTCACAGTGGAGCTTTTTTTTCTTCAGGCTAAAGAGCCTCAGCAATCTCAGCTTGTCTTCATATTTCCATTCTGTGGATCATTTTTGTGGCCCTTCTCTGGACATGCTCCAACAGATCTATGCCTCTCCTTTACTGAGGACCCTACATCTGGTTGCAGCATTCCAGGTGAGGCCTCACCAGTGCAGAGAAGAAAGGCAAGATCACCTCCCTCACCCCATTGGCCATGCTTTCTTTGATGTAGCCCAAGATACAGTTGGCTTTCTGGGTTGCAAGGGCATATTGCTGACTCATGTCCACCTTGCCATCCACCATTCCCCACAGGTCTTTTTCAACAGGGCTGCACTCAATCCTTTCCTCCCTCTGCCTGTGTTGGCAATGGGGCTTGCCTCAAGTCAAGTGCAAGAAATTGCATTTGGATTTGTTGAACCTCATGAAGTTCATCTGGGACCAGTGCTCAAGCCTGTCTAGGTCAAGCCTGTTTAGGATGGCATCCTGTCTCTCTGAGTTGACCTCATCCCACTGCTTTGTGTCAACAGCAAAGTTGCTAACAGGTGCACTCGACCCCAGTGCTTCATAAATGTCATTTATGAAGATATTAAAAGAGTACTGGCCCCAGCGTGATAGAACAAACTGTAGAACTGGTGGTAATTGAAACATATGGTCACCTCACTAAGACCAGTAATGAATAAAAGTTAATAAACAGCATGTGTAAATTCAAGGTATACTTTCGAACTTGATCACTGTAGGCATTGATAGAGTCTGAAGGAACTGAAGATTGTTTCCCCTTTTTCATACTTACAATTAGATTAATGTGATTGGGCTTCATTATTTTCTAAGTTTTTTTACAATTACAAAAATTGCCTTCATATATCTGTTTCAGGCATGCTCATATTCATATTCAGTCCTTTGTGGACAAAGTAGTATAATTTACTACACCACTCAGAGCTTC